ACCGATACAAATTTCTAACAATATGTGAATATTGTATCTTTCCCCATATGAGATTGTAGTTTTATTTTGCCATTTATTTATAAAGTTAATGTTCATCGATGTATATTGGAGGCAAAAATAAATACAGTCAAACATATGTTTTGGGTAGTGCCAATGTTTTATACCAAATATTTATTAAAAAATAAATATTAAATATAAACTTGTAAAATTGTCTTTAAGTTTAATCAATCTTGTTAAAATATATTTTTTCTTATTTTATATTTCTCTTATACTTATTTTTTATATATAATCAAGATATTAATGATTTATTTGTATTAAAAATCCATAAGAAATATTACAAACAAATATAAATATCACAAAATATATAATTATAACATATGATTAGTAACAAGGTAAAAAAAAATTTCTACATAAAAGTTTTGATTTAAACTAATAAAATAACGTGTAAGTAATAGATAATATAAGTAATAGATAATAGATAATAAATAGATAATATATTTTTATTTACATAGTACACATACAATTTTTGTTATAAATTATTTAATAGTAAATACAAAGAAAATCCAATCGATATTTGTACTTTTCTGAACTATAGATATGGGTTTAAAGACTGAAGAATATATCATAATGTATGTATGTATGAATATAATACTATGATAATTTTAAGTATATTGTTTTAAAATATATTTAAAATAAACTGTAAACCTCAAATATAAAATTCCAATAAAATAGTTCAATATATTTTGTAATCAGAATAATTGATCATTAATTGCTGAATATTATTTATTTATTTAGTAAATGTTAAAGATAGAAGATTCAATATTATTATAATTCAATATTATTAATATAAATTTCTATTAATGCCTATTCATTTTAATCTTGATTGATTTTTTCTTTTTTGCTTATCTTTAAAAAGAAAAAATAAATTAAACCGAAATTAAAATATGTTGATAAAAATTAATATAAAAAGTTATATAAATATGATGTGAAATTTAAAATATTACACGTCAATATTTGAGACTTAAATTATAAAATTGTATATAATATTAATACATGATATAAGAAATTACTTATAATTTATTACTAACACGATCTTTGGTATAAATGAGTATAAATCTAAATATGACTTTTCCTCTTATATGTAACTGTATAAATTTAAAAAATACAAAAATTATATCTTTTATTAATTTTATATTAAAGTTTTGACACTTTTGTCTTAAACAATAATGAGAAAATTTGTTATATAAATAGGCTTATAAAACAATGTTGGAGTTAAAATGTATAGAGTATAAAATGTATAATTTTTTTTAGTGTAGAAAAAAAACATTTCCTATATGGAAAAAATTTTGGAGTAATAATTGTTTATCTTATATTTTTGAAATATTTTTTCACATAAAATATTTCATTAGCAGAGTAGCAGAGTACATGAGAGATAGCTTTCGTAATTCTATATTATATGCACAATGTGCATAGATTTAAATAAGTTTTACATTCCATAGTGAATAAATATTTATATTTTTAACTTAATTGCATTGAAGAAAATATAATAAAAAATAAGAAGATTGCATAATTAATTTTTAGAGAGTTAAATAATGTCATATTTTTTATAATAATTATTTACATAATTATTTTATGTAAGATAGATTAAAATTAGAAAGTTAAAAAAAATAAAACATATAAGATTTGACAAAATCTTCCAAAATTAAATATTTAAAATCATAATAAAAAGTTTTGAGATTAAATTTTAATATTGCAATAATTTTAATAGAATATATAAATAATAGTATCAAATATATTAATTTTGAAATTAATATTTGAAATTAATAGTAATTTTATATATAATAATAGCTTAATAAATATTGCACCTATGACTATGTCATAACTTTTATAATATAAATATCGCAGAATACAAATTTTATAAAAGTAAAATACATCATAATTATATCATGATTATTATGTTTTTCCTGTTTGAAGTTAAATAAGTATTTATAAAACTATTTAAAAATATTTATGGCGATTAAGATAAATTATTTATATCTTATCATTGTCTAAAATATTAATGATAATTGTTAATAATGCAGTAAATTATCCTAAAAGTGGTATACTAGTATTAGTAAAATGTCGAATTATGTTCTATTCTTTCATATGAAATGAATCTATGCTTTTTCTTTCGCTGTCTCGCTAGAGATTTTATTTTACTAAAAATGGCAATTGTTAGTTTTGTCAAATGTGACTGTAAAATGACTATCTACCTTGATTGCTTGATGGGGCTGTGCTTTGAGTGGGGGAAGCACTGTCTTTACAGACTTTGGCAGTCATTTCGGCTAATGGTTCTAATTCTTTAGGATTAATTAAATCAAATTCTGTTACAAAATAATAGAAATGCTTGTAACATGTGTTAACATGTGCTTCCTAAAATGGCAATGTATTCAATTATAAATGATATCTATAATAAAATATTAAAAAAATAATTCAGTCAATATACTTACTGCTCCTATTGCTACAATGCGATCAAAATGATGGATATACACATGAACAAAAACTCTAAAAAGGCGTGTCAAGATTTTTCTACATAGTGGTACAAATGTTTTGGGAAATGGCACATCTGTAATAAAATTCTTTGTATTTCCTGATACAAAACAAGATTATTTCCTATTATTATAAAACAGATATAAAACCTGTTGATACTGGGAAAACTGCTTCGTTATTTATTTGAGCTTCAATCCAATCCATAAGAAGGGTAACATATTGCGGCGCTGGTAACGCTGTTGGCTTTTTATATTTTTCACCATCTGCCCATAAGTATTCAAAACGCGCTCCACCGCTCATCGTTGGACAAGATGCTGAGTCACAGTATTCAGATACAGTACCATATATAAGATTTATTCTATTAAAAAAGTCTACAACTAAAATAGAAGAAAGAAAAATACATAATTACAATATTCTTTCTTTTTTCTCTTAATATAAAAAGGATGTTTTTTAAAATAAGCTTGAAATATTCACAATACTTTTCTTATGAAATACAATATGAAAGTAGCATCAAAATCAAAGTGCATAATAAAGTAATTTTGACAAAATTTTTATATAATTTTCAATCTTTATCTTTATATTAAAGAATTTATATACCATGGACGGCGATCCAATCATTTAAATCTTCTCCAGGAGGTAATTTAACAACAGATCTTAGATTAATCCCAGAATTAAGAGAAGCTTGAGCTTGCTTGTGTAAAGAATATCGTAATGTTCCATGAGCAAACTTTTTCTTCGGCCTAAATGTCTGCAATTACAAGTACACAAATATATACTTTTTCAATGATAATAAGATATAAGAATACAAATCAATTTAGGATATGCAAATATAGCTAACCAATATTATGTAAAAACAATTATAGGCTAATTAGAAAACAAAAATCGATTTTAGGTTAATGTATCATGGAATTTATGCTGCAAATTAATATCATTACCTTTCCTTTTTGGAAGAATTCTATAAATCCGCTTAATGTAGTCATCGTGCATGCGAAAATTTGTTGTTATTTATTATTATTCTTAATTTGTATGTACTTTCATAAGAAACGTGAGGATGAAACCGGTCGACACACCTGGCGCTGTCTACATACGACTCCGAATTTTCATGTTATACTGTGACATTCCTGATGAAAACAAATCCGGGTAAATATATGTAACGCTTTCTTCTCTGATATTCCTGTAATTCTATTAATTTATGTATTTTCATGTGTAAAATATATTCTGAGAAAAAAAATCATCACATGTCCCGTTTTCTTTTCTTTTTTTTAATTTCAACATTTTTTGATATTTGAACTTTAATCCAAATAAATAAAATGAAAAAAATATAAATTTTTAATTACAAATTATTTTCTGTTATAATTTAAATTTTATAAGAGAACAATTTGTGTTTTTAATTAATTAAATGTGCACCCATAATTATCATTTTCTAATTTACCAACGTTAAAAAATTTTGAAAATAAAAATTAGGAGCAATAATTTTTCTTCTTAGAATATATACTACTATATTCTATATGAAAATACACAAATTTATAAGAAATTACAAGAAAATCAGGGAAGAGAGCGTTATAGTGCATATTTATCCAAATCCGAAATATTGAATAAGAAATAATTAAACAACATTAAATCATTAACATAAACATAAAACATTAATATAAAACATTAAGTCAATAAAATAATTAAAGCATTTTATATCAATTATAGCCGAAGAATATTTCAAGATGACCACTGGAAACTTAAACATTAAGAAATTTTTCTTTAAATTAATCTTGAAACTTGCTTTGAGAAATATTTAAAACTTTCAAACTTGCTTAAACTTGCTGTAACTTGCTTCAGTCTCCAGCGATAATTTTCAAAATCTGATATTTATTCCCGTTATTCTTAACATTTCCTCCATTCCTGCACAGAGTCTAGCAGAAAGACATGATATTTAATAGGCATTAAAACGCGTTTGTATTCGAAATAGCGAGACAATGGCGCGCAACCTTGGTACTTTGTTTACAGTTGACGGGCATTGTGTACGCGCGCGCGACGCGCTATCATTCAGCCGCCAACTCTTGTATGAGTAGGAAGTGTCACGTATCGCTCCGCGTATCTCCGCGTTTCCTTTTCGAAACGAAGTTTCGCGACGAGTTCTAGATATACAGAATACACGTTGACGTATCTTACGACGCATGTAAATAAACGTTGATAGCTCGCGTTATTATGAATTTATCGGATTCATACATATATTAAAAGACGACTTGTTTTATTGAATATTTCGGATAACGGAACTCGTGTTCATTGATCGGGGCTTATTTATTTATTTATTTTTTTTTTGTTGAAATGTTATAATAATTCATGACTGTAAACGATAATTCTTCCAATGTATTGCCTTGACGTGACGGATCAAAGGACTTTCTTTAATAATTTAATAGTCTAATCTGAATATTTTTAACGTTGAGCATTTTGAAATTTTCATGAATTTAAATATAATTTTATTAATACATGTAGCGATAGTTAGTTTGTAATAGTTACTCATTATTTTATTATTTATTTATACATAATTTATGTGCTTCGTGGCTTTCAGTTACATTCCTCTCGTGTATTTATTATTTACTTTTATGTACATATTATATAAGTATTTAATATATAGTTAAACTTTTAATTTATAACTTATAAATTTTTATTTAAAAAATGTTTAAACAAAAAACAAACTGTTATTTCTTAATTCAAAACAAATTAAACATAAAAATTCTACTTAAATTACAACTAAATTAAGTTAAATTATTTAATTAGACTAAATAAAGTTTAAATTGAATAAAACAAAACAAAACTAAATTAAATATATATGTAAAAAATAAATATATATGTATAAAGTTTAAATAACCACTAACTCTTTCTATTTCTCTTTTTCCACTTCTCTATTACTTTTTTCCTATTTTCCTAATTAACTTTCTTTTTAATTTTTCCATTACTTCAACTTTCTCTATTTCTTTTCTTGTAAATTCTTTTACTGTAACAATCATTTATTGTTACTAAATAACTAAATAATATATATATATATATATATATATATATATATATCAAATAAATTGCAACAAATCTATTAAGAATACGTTCGCTTTGGATCTTACGCGCTGTAAGCATCATTCTATCTTCATTATTCATTATACGCCAAAAGAAGATAGAACAATACTTGCAGCGCGTGAGCGTGCAAACAAACATACCTTAAATGAAACAATACGATATAGAGATTTAGAGGATATTTAAAATATAATATATTATATTATTTAATGTTTCGTTATCGAAAGATGCTTTCACATTTTGTGGAAGTTAAATTTGGTTTGTAATATTATTTAATATTTCATCGTAATCGGACTATTATTGGTTGTAGCCTTGAGTTGTGTTTACCGCGGTTGGTACGTCACGTGTTTATAAACGCGAATAGCGTGTCACGTGTTTACGAGTGTGCCACGCGTCGTCATTTATTCAACGACGCTCGTAGGGATAGCAAGACACGCTGCTCCGCATTTCTTCGCATTTCTTTGAATAGCGAGTGATATCAAACGTTGTTCTATCTTATGAATGCGATAGTAAATACTTATTAACCAGCGTGATTAACGATTTATAAGTATATCGAAATAACAATTCTTTAGTGAAATATATACATATTTAAAGTGATTTTTTTGGAAATCCATAACTTTTTGTAAATATTAACCCTCCAACCCTGGGTACGGCCTTGACATGGCGGAGGGGTATTCCGAGGGGTTCTGTACCCCAAAGACGAAGAAACAAACTGTACACTATTACACTATTACTAATAACATTAGTATTCATGTTAAATAATAAGAGCTATGTATCTCGAAAGGTTTTTAATAATGATCTAATCCAAATATTTTGAATATTATAACGTTGAGCATTTTAAAATTTCTACGGATTTAAATATAATTTGCATATTATTTTGTAATACATATAGTGATAGTTTATCGTAACAGATAAAATACATAACATATTTATCTAAATAAAACAAATTAACAAATAACACTAAATGGTAATGAGTCTATAAGGATGCGTTTGCTTTGGACACTCACGCGCTATAAGCACCATTCTATCTTTATTATTCATTATACGCTAAAGATAGATAATTAATACCAGTGCGTAAGCGCCCAAAACAAATATATCTTAAATGAAATAGTAAATGTATGATATAGAATATTTAAAAGTTATTTAAAATTATATTATTTAAAGTTCCGTGATCGATAGATGTAACGTGGAAAATAAATTTTGCTCGTAATTGTTGAATATTTCATTGTAGTCGGACTATTGTTGTAGCCTTGAGTTGTGTTTACGCACCACGGCTGGTACGTTGTGTTTACATGCGCGAATAGCGCGGTTCCACGTGCTACCATTCATTCATCAGCGTTCGTACAGACAAGTAGCAAAATTCGCTGCTCCGAATTTCTTCGCATTTCATTGAATGATATCAAACGTTGTTCTATCTTTTATATCTAATACGATAATGCTTATTAGCTGATATGATTAACGATTCCTAAGTTATCGAAATATCAACTCTCTAATGAAATATATACATATTTCAAGTGACTTATTTCTTGAAAATTCATAATTTTTTCAACATTAACCCCTCCCCTGGATACGGCCTTGACGTGGCAGAGGGGACGTGGCAGTATTCCGAAGGGTTCCGTTGGTTTCCCCAACGAAATTCCCAAAGACGAAAAAGCTAACAGTACCTGTTGCACCTACTAATAACATTAATATTAACGTTAGATAATATTACTGTTATTAATAATGTACTAACACAGCATAACCACGAGTCGTGAAATGGCTCTTATGTGGCAAAGTTGATTAATGCATTTTACATTAATCGTCGGTTTTGAATCGATATTACGCCGCTGATTTAATTGTGAAAGAACGAACTGCAGCCAGTTCGTCGCGTCGCGCGTTTGCTTCGGGAGTGCCGTAAGTGATCGGACTAAAAGACTTTTCCTCGTCCTGCGAGAGCTCGTTCGATAAATATCATAATTCGTGCCGGGAGTCACGCATTTTCAAAGGGTGCAGAGAGCGTGGGATCTCATTGAGGCGTAGTCGGCTACGTCTTCACGCCACGTGCGCCGCGGCACTGATGATGCTGTGAATGTTACACGCACTCGCTATCGCTTGATGTGTTGTGTTTCGCACAGTTGCAACCCGCATTAAACGGCTGATTGAGAACACGCTCTGTCTTCGACAAGTGGTTCGGTCCCAATCGGCAAGATTTTTAATTCGGCTGACTTATTTTTCGTCGCCTCCCTTGATTTCTTCTTTTCGACACAGCATTGCCACGAGTCGTGAAAGGGCTCCTATGTGGCACGTGCGAGTATTTAATCGCCAACGATCTTTATTTTCCCTTCCTTACTCTTTCCCTTCCTAAACAAATCGCATTTAATTTGACTCGATCAGAGCTTAGTTCGAGCGGTTATTGCGTGTGCCGAGAGGCTGGATCCCAGTTGTCCGATTGTCTAGATTGTTAGGCATCGGCGATGCCTTCTCTCTCGTCACATCTATCAGTCTTCTCGATAATCCGGGTGACGTTTGATATCACGTGTATGATATCCGCCCTGGTGATTCGATCTGAACCGTTGGTTATGTGATGGTTGAGTCAATTTTAGACGTGATTTCTAAGAAACAAGAGACGTCGGATTCAAGTCAATCGATTCGTCTTCTTCCGCTTCGATCCTAGCCCTTGCTTGAGGAGTTACCGTGTGTCTCGAAAAGCTCACCGACTCGGATGCTGACTGGACTGACGGAATTTGATGTTTTTACGAGCAGCAAAATTAGTCCACGCGCGATTATAATAATTCGCGAGTGTTTTTCGCGAGTGTCCTGTGCTGCGAGGACATCCGACGACCCGACACCTCGAGAGGAGGAGGAGGAGGTCTAGGAGAGACATCGGGCATCGGCGGAGCAACCTTGCGGTAAGTATACATTTTTTTGTCAACATAAATTATTAAAATTATTTGTGTTCTCATTATTTCTTGTGTATTTCTCTTTATTTGGATCGCTAAATTTTGATAATTTGAAATTTATATAGTTTCGGAAAGAGGAACAATTTAAAATTTGATATGAAAATTTAAAATGATATGAATTTATTTCTATAAAGATTTTGTTTGAAAATTATATAATTTATTTTAATATAAATATCTTGAAAAAGAAGTAAATTCGATATATATATAAACATTACTTTTTAAAATATTTGTCGTTTAGAACGCTGCTATAATTTGCATCTGTTTGTTTGTTACAGAATCATCGTAGCTACGTTGCAGATAAACTCCGCTGTTGCGCATCAGGTCGGTGAGTGATAAATTTTTTTATATTGGGGTAACAAATTTGTGAAACTTATATTAGATTATTTTTATGTATTTATTATAAAAGTTTTAGTAGTTGGATATGTTGGATATGTTCTAATATAAACATATTCTTAATCCATGAATTGTGGATGCAGCACGGGCACGCAATTTTATTGGTAGTGTTAGAAATGGATAGAGTTACGCAAAAATGAATTTGTTAGCTAGATAGTTTACAAGGGGTTTTGATTTCATGAAAAAGTCTGGGACAGTCGTTCTTAGGTTTTTCTTTTGTTCTAAATGAGAACGTATTTCAGCGGAATTCGGTCATTTCTTCACAACATTTCATTAATAAAAAATGAATATGTAAAACTTGCTCTTTTATTTTCTGTTACACATATTTTTTATATTTTAGTGACTTATCAAATGAATGTAGCGATTTTATCTGTTAATAAAAAATGTATAAAATATGTAATCTGTATAACCGTGCATAGGTATTTAAAGTTATTGTTCATCGAATTTCTGAATTATCTTTCATGAATAACACTTGAGAATAAGTTTGAGAATAAACTTCTGTCGATAAATTGTGTCTTGTTTTTGATAAAACATAATGGCTAACAGAAACATGAAATTCGAATAATTAGAATAATTTTTTGCTCATTGATTTTTTATTTACATTTTATTTATTCTTTAGTCACATTGTAATAAATCTACAAGTTGATGAATTATATTTTTTTTTTCAGCAAAAAATCTCGAATCAATGAAAAATAAGAACATACAATGAGAAAATGTAAAAGGATGAATATATTTTTTTTAATATTTCAGTAAAATATTGTTTATATTTTTATTGCAAGAATTATAGATAGGAATAATGTTTACCTATCTGTCATGCCAAATATCTCTTACTGCACATAATGAATTGTTATTACTTTGTATCATAAATTTGTCAATCGCGTTTCAAATTTGCTGTCTGTTTGTTTTTCCTAAAGTACTTAACAATTTTGTATAACATATTTCGTATAACATATTTATATAACAAATAAATAAAGCCTCTAAATATTGTAACGCAAGATAAATAGAAGAGCAGGTACGGCATGTAATAATCTATCCATGATACATCGTGTCCACGATATTGTAAATGTTTTGAGTTTGGAAATTTCAACACGTGCTCCACGTGCCACACTGCCTTGTCTATAGGTTTCACCAATTCGTCCCGCACAATCGCCGACATCGTTTGTATATTGTTTAAATACCTGTAATTAAAATTTTACCATAATATCGCATATCATAGTTGTATTCTGTTTTAATCGATATTTAATCTTTCGCGATCCGTAATTCTCTTCTGCCACAAATCATAAGCAGAAAGATCTCTGATCTTTTTGGACAATATTGGACATTCCACAAAATAAAATAATTTAATATGGAAAATAATATAATTTAAAAGAAACATTTTTCGTATTACTAAAACATGTTTCGTATGACACATTAAATCTCAACTTTAAATAAATACTTGCTTTATCACTGTTTTATTGTAATTGATTATTAATATAAGCAGTCTTAATAATAATAATTTATTGCAGTAATACAACTTGTAAGCACATTCGGGCACATAATATTAGATACAGAATGCGCCTAAGAGACAAAAGGTGATTATTTCGCATTTTTAATGCATCTTATTTAAAATTATCTTATTAATTTAAATTAAGTATATTACCGAATAAATATATTATCAAATTGCATAATTAAGAAATTTAGGATATGTATTATTAAGTATGATCATATATTAGATTATGTGATTTAATAAGAAGAAGAGATTATGAAACACATTTGGCTTTCTATTCATATAGCTTTTCCGGAATGAAATTATAATTTAATTTAAGAATAGCGGTCGAAAGGATGAAATCAGGATTAATTTTTCGAAAGGTCATGCTGCCGGCGCAATTTCGCGCAAAAACTCACGTTTTATTTTCGACGATTTCCGTGAGCGTTTGTACGATGGAGTTTTCGGTTATGGTGTCGATGTCCAGTGTCAGTCCGATACCGGCGTCTAGGATTTTACGTGCGTTGAAATGTTGATCCCCAAAAAAGGGTATTGCGACTAACGGCACGGAATAGTGCACCGCCTCCTGCAACGACTGCAATCCACCCTGCATCACGTACGCTATCACCTTGGGATGTGCTGCATAATATAAAAGTGGCGTAAGTACATAAAGTATCGTAAGATGATGCTTTACGGATTATTTGCTTTTGAGAATTACCGGGAGATTGGCGTCGCGTGTGGACAGCGGTAAAAAAACGCGGCAAAAGAGAAACAGAACGAGAGAGAGAGAGAGAGAGAGAGAGAGAGAGAGAGAGAGAGAGAGAGAGAGAGAGAGAGGAGGAGGAGGAGGAGGAGAGAGAGAGAGAGAGAGAGAGAGAGAGAGAGAGT